CAGCGCTCAGTTTCTCCCGATTCTTTATTTTCATGTTCAGCATTGCCAGCTCTGTTTTAAAAAAGTAAAATGGACACTTATCTTCTTCTTCCCCTCCCTCCTCCTTCTGTTTCCAACAAATACACAACCGCACACATGCACGCACACAAACACGCCCTCCACACACACACACGCACGCACGCACACACAGAGTCCTGATTTTCACCCATGTGGGAGAGAGCCGAGCCGAGCCAGGTCAGAGCTGAGCTGAGCCTGAGGACGAAACACCCATTTTTCGCTTCCTGTGTCCGGCTCTACAAAAATGGCTGCCACAGGCGTACCACAAGGCTCCGTGCTCGGCCCAGTTCCTTTTCTCATCCGCTGCCGTACTGCCGTGCTCACATCTCGTTGGCTAGCTCCTCCGTTTCCGTGGAAACGTCTCCGTTGGCAATCTTGGTGTTCTCCTCGTATCCGGGGGGCATGAAAGCTAACGTGTAGGGATAAAGCTTGTGGCACTCGGCGCGGTACGACTCTGCGTGCTCCTTACAGTCGCCCAGGGCGCCGCTGCGAAGACAGTCGAGGACCTCCGTGCAGATCTGAAGACGAGAGGACAAAGGTTAGAAGAAGCTACGTTCAGGCAGAGAGGAGTGGACAGTTTATCACAGTCTGTCTCAATCCCAACTCAAAAGGAACTGCTGTACTTCCTGATGTTATTGGTTACCACAGTTTTTGTCGCGACTTCTCGATTGCGGTCGGTCCTTTGACCAACTTTTTAGGAAAACCTGTCTGGCTGGTTTCACTTCACTGAAGAAACTCGTTTGTTCTGCTCCAGCCCTTTTTCAGATGGATACTCTCAGCATCTGAGCCACGAGGACCTGAGAGACTAACTTTTATTCCACAACAGCAGAGACTCCAGTGTGTGTTTACCATAAGAATAGTCGTAACTGTTTCTTTGCTTCCCTCCCGTCTTCTTACACGATGCCACTACGTACCTGTATGGTTCTGTTGTTCAGGGACTCATCCAGTGCACCGGCCAGTTCTGCTGCTTTCGTTTGCATCGAGGAGTCCAGATACACCATCATCTTCGCAGCTACGGGCGGGAGAGAGAAGGTGAGTCTGAGAGAAAGTGTGTTTTTAATAATTCTACATTTTAAGATCAATCCATCGCAGAAATGTTTCTGCAGCG